GGGGGGCAATACACAAGAAAAGGAAAATAAGGATGACGTACGCATATGTGGCTTTTTAAATTTTGTATCTCCAGTGCCTGAGCTAAAGCGTACTGTCTTTATTCTGTGTACCATTAATTCCAACAGGGTCTTGCTTGTATCAAGATAAAATAGTTCTGCTCCAACTTTTAAGTTCTTCAAATGTACAACTACCACTAAGTCTCTAGAATAAATTGGCTCATATTCATTAGAATGATATTGGCTTAAAGCTGAATGTGGCCCTCCTATTAGACTTGTGTTGATCCTGGTTTTTAGTATTATTTATTTTTTCCTGTGAAACTGCCTCCTACCTGCAATGAGCTTCTACCTTGTCAAACAGACTGCTGTTGATGCAAGTGCAGTTTTGAATGCTTGTAACACTTTTCCTATGGAAATCCAAATGGGAACTGTGCTGCGTGACAGTTTTAAGAGGGTGGCTAGATGCAACTGGGGAGTCTAAAACTTTCTGAAAGAGAATCCCTCCTAGGGACAGAATATTTGTGCTTTAGTAAGAAGAAACATGCTAAATGCCAATGGTACACTAAAATAAAATGAAATGGCTCATTTAAGGGCAAATGCACTACTTAATTTAAAAGGTATGAAGCCTCTAATGTAACTTGCCCCCTCCAGACGAGTCTTCAAAAGAGACGTACTGGACAGAGGAAGAGAAGTGGTGTTGGTGCATGACTATGAACACTTGGAAGCTCAGAGAGGGAAAGTACAGCGAACAGAATCTTCCAGTTGTGTGTAAAATTCAGAGTGCTGTATTTAGTATATGGTCCTTCATGTTGAAGACCTCTTCCTTGAACAACTGGTTTTTCTAACCTATGCAGGCAATGTATGGGAGCTGGAATGCAAGTGACAGCAAAACGTATTGCGCTTTGGCTTCTGCACTGGCTGTCTGTCTGCTTATCTAATGTTTCATTAAGGGATGAATGCACAAAGCGAAGGGGTCGGGAAGTGAAGGAGATGCCAGTTCATGGCTGTGGAAACCATACTTTGGCCCTCTGTGTAACCAAGACCTCTAATTCCTGTTACTTGGTGAAAGCTGCACAGCTCCAAGGAGCAGAACCTAGGCTGCAGACGGGGCCTAATTTAGTAATGAACTCTTGTACCCCAATAGGGAAGGGGAGCCTGGTGATGGGAAGGGACAGAGCCAAGCAAGAGGATATAAACAGAGGTCCTGGGCTAAGGAGCAAGTCTGGCCCGAGCAGGATGCGGCTCTCTGAAGGGCTGAAAGGGCAGGTTTCAGTGAGTAAGTACAGAGGGGCTGAAATTGCTCTGGGTCAGCAAGGGAGGAGATTGGCCTGAGGAAAGGCACCTCAGGAGCACAGTATGGGTTTTTGGGAGTATTGTTCTACAAGGCTGGCATGTACTTGAGAGTGGGCCAGCCAAGGCGGTAGGCCTGTAGACCTGAAGATGAGACAGTCAGTTAGTTAGCTGTTGAAAGTTTGACTTAAACTTTTAATATGGAGGATAGCTCCTTGATAAAGAACGTGACGATACAAAGACAACTTTACTGCAAAAGTCAGTGTTCTTTAAAAATCCTATGCAGGAGCGCTGTCTTTTGCACGTAGCCTTTTTGAAGTTTGGCTTTCTAAATGTACAGAGCAAACTGTAAATTGTGATGAACCAAAGTGGTAAAGAGGACAATGTGGTTTTGGTTTGTGCTGCTACGTGCTGAACACTTCTTCCTTCATCATCTGTAGCTGCCTCGGCTTGCAGTCTAAACTGAGGTCCCAAAATTTAATACTGGAAGGGATGGAGGAAAAGTTTGTGTGTGGGTTTTTTTTTTTTTGCAGCTGAGCAAACTATTTATTTGTGTGGTATATTCCCCAAAACAAGACGCATGCTTGTTTTGGGCAGGCAGAATGAAGGGAAAATGTATTTTTTTGTTTTTCCCTTTCAACCAAATTGAAAATCAGACTGCTCACTTAAGGCCCATGCCCTAATTCTTAATCCCTAATTTTAAAGGGGGGGGGGGACTGAGTGTGGTATGTGCATATAAGTTTTTCTCTGAGAACCTGGTTTTCTACCTCCAAATTCTGTAACAAAAATAAAGATGTACTACTGTAGAATTTATTTTTTAAAGAAGTGTGTGTGTGTGTGTGTGTGTGTGTGTGTGTGAGATGAATTTTGAGCATGTCTGCCTTTGGTACAGAAAGACCCCTTGCTGGATGGGCTGACATCCAGCGTACTGAGGCAAAGGGAGAGGGATGCACACACAATAAACTGTGTGCCTTGGTGGGAGGAAGCTAAGGGAAAGTTGCAGGGGTGTTTGTAAAATGAAGGTTTGTAAAATGAAGCGCGAGGCTGCACTTGGCCCATGAAACCAAGAGACGAACAGCAAGTGGAACCTAGGACAACCTGTCCTCACAAGAAGAAAAGAGATCTTCCTAACTCACTGTTATCTGCTAATGAGGAAAACTCTCATGGAAGCCATGTAGCTGATGCATATGAATTAGTGGGCCAAAGTTAACCCTAGGCTCCTGCCATTGGTCTGTTTTGACCGTGTCATGACGAGAAATATCTAAAATGCAGCACTTACGGTTCGTGAGAAACTCCAAAGTGGTTATTAAACTAATTTTTAGGAGGTGTACATTGCATGTGTTTAACTGGAAATTCAAAGGAAGAGGAAATGCCGGGGCATGCTTGCTAGGAACTCGTCTCCCTTGAGGAGAAATAAGTCCTTGACAAGCTGCTGAACTGCCGACTAGAAATGCCTTTCTTGTAGCAGCTTTGGACTTTCAATCTTTGGGAGTCCCCGTATCTAACTGGTTAAACCAAGTATGGTTAAAATAACTTTTTTGCCTTGGGGAAAAGGGCAGTCTGGCTTCTCCTTAACCCCTCTTTCCAATCCTGAGACTAGCTGGAAGGACAGTTTTTTTTTTTTTTTTTTGTTTTGTTTTTTCCTCCTCCTTGTGTGGCTGGGTTTAGGCTATGTGATCCCTGAGCATCTGACAGTTATAGAACACTTAACTGCATTCAAGAGTAAATAAGAGAAGGCCAGGATGGTGCTTCCAAGGGTAGGGAATTAAAAAGAACAATAAGGTCTTTCTTACACTTGGAAGAATTTAGTCCAAGGTAATCTTGATATTGTGACGCATCAATTTGCATTGGCATCTGTATACATCTATTTCCTAAACTCCATCTTTCTTTTTTTGACATCGTTCTCTAACACATCTGTGTGTGTACATACACTGGAAGAGTTTGAGTAGAGAAGGGATGTCTATGCTCTAATAAAGGGAAATTTCACATAGGACACACCCAGGGTTGTCTCTGGCATAAGGATCCAAATAATCTTCCCGCTTGCTAAACTTCTTTGTTTCTTTGAGCAGAGGTCCCTGTATGAACACATTATAGTAGCTTGTACTACCGGTACTAAGACCTTCTTGAAAAGGAAGAAATCCAGAGGTTGAAGTCTGTAATTTTGATTCCCTTCTGTTCTGGCTACACTGAAATCTCAAACTGTTGTCTAGCCAATTTAACTGGGTCACCTAGGAGGTGGGTCTGCAGCCTGATATTACTTCCATTATGGACACAGTGAAAGGGAGCTCAGTTCACCTGTTTTACCAGGTAGAATCTGTCAGTCTCCCTCTTCCATCCTTCAAAAATAAAGGCGCCAGCAGGTAACAATTATTCCTACTTGAGTAAGTATAGAAAGCTATGAATGTGCTCTTAGATGCCTCTTCAGACTTCTGAATCTGGGATGACCTACTAGTAGGTTGCTGTGGCCCTTGCTGTCGAGCAAGAGAAATTTTTGCAACTGAAGGCTGGAAATCGGCTTCCGGCAGAGGCAGCATATAGATTGCCCAACTCTATACACTATATTAAATGCCCTGATAGTCTTGCTGGCACACAGCTAAGCTTAATGTATGTGTCCTTGTGATGGGTGCTCTTTCCTTACGCAAAATAAACCAGACTTGTACTTCATTGGTCAGCCTAGAGATAACATACTTCCATGATTGCTGCTAGAGGAATTGATTGATAAGGTATTTGGAGCTTATCTAGTCTAAGGTAGCCTAAGACCTGATTCCTGATGCAGTAGAGCCAGGGCCAAGGAGAGACTTTTTACAATATATGAATTGATCATGAGGCTTTAATTCTACAGGGTACCTGCCAGTTTGAAGGTTAAACCTATAAACTACTTAAAGTGGATAAACAGGAAGGCAGCAGCACAAAGTAAATACAACTTGCTGCAGTAGCTTATGATACTCTCCCCTTGGGACAGCTTGGTTGGTTGGTTGTTTCTTTTTTTTTTTTTTTTTTTTTTTTTTTTT